TGGAGAATACAACAAAATTTTAGAGGACTAGTGTTTTTATTTCCTTCTATTGTTGTATATACATTTTATTAAGCTATTGGTTTGGTTTCCGTTTTCCTTAGGTGCTGCTACATCCTCATCCTCTTCTTCACCTTCATCCAGTTCCATAACAGCTGCTGTTATGTTAACTTTAGCTGAACCATCAATGTCTGGCGCGTCACAAAATGGAATGTCAGTTGAGTGCAGGTGACAGCAGGACTTGCTAAAGCACTTTGCACTTAATGGCTGTTGAGGGCCACGTCTTTTTTTATACTGCACAGTGGCACAAAAAAAAAAAAATCAGACAAGCACTATTTTATATTTAAAAATTGTTTCTTGACAAGCTGACTTGGCACTTAAGTGCACTTTTTTTATGAAGAAAAAGTACAATGAACTGCTTTTCCTCAAGCAATAATTGTTTCCAACTTGTCTGGGAATTGTGTGTCTGGTAACTTGAAGGCCTTCCACTGTGGCAAATGGAGGCTTTTCACTGCCTGTAGAGATAATACAGTAAGCATAGTTATTGAGTGGGCCAGAATATGTTAAGATAACTTACTGTATATGTATTCCCTTGTATTTTGTTAAAGCTGGAACATTTGATATTTTTCCATTTATTTATGAAAAAATATGAACCTATTTTCATTTGTACAAGCTAATTGTTTTTTAAAGCAAGTCACCTTAGGGTGGCTTTAATTGTATAAGTCAAGCACATGTAATAAATTCAAAACCTGCAGTTAACAGGATATTAGACATCAATCCTGGTAACCAAATATTAAAGATTCTCTTTAAAAAAGACTGAACATGTTTACAGGTTTGAATTAGGCTAAAAGGTCTTGCAGTGGCTTTTCATGCCCCTTCAAATTGGAATGGAACTACTGTACTTTGCCATTTTTCTATAAATCAGTATTTTTTTTTTAATTTTGATATAATACATTGTGTGAAAAAAGAAAATGGCTAATAAACTGTATTAAATCTTAAACAATGTATAAAGATTGTACTTAGCCAGTTCAAAGTGTATATTTATTCATAATGAATTATAACAGTTATATTTTTGTGTTTTCTTGTAAATGTTTCTTTTTCCTTAAATACAGATAATTCATTTGTATTGCTTATTTTATTATGAGCTACTACAAGAGGATTTCAGGAACAAGTAAACTCTATTAGTATGGTTCAAGGTTGTTGATATGAACTGTCTCAAAAGGATGGTTGTTATTTTAAGTATAAATAGCTAATCGGGGTGGTAGGCCTATAAAATTAAATGCCTTGTATAAAATCCAAAATGAACGCAAATTGTTTTCACTTGTATTGACTTTATGTTGTATGATTCCAATCTCTGTTCTGTTTGGCACTTGTATTTAATTCTACACCTTTGTAAGACATTTGTATATTGCGGATGTGTTCATTGAAGCTATTTAATACCTGGCACTGTTAATACACAGTACTGTACAGACTGTTTTAATTGTAGTTCTGTGTACTTTTTTTGGATGGAGCTGGCATGTTTTATTTGTTTTCTGGCAATACAACGTGAGAATTTTGAAGCGTTTTGTTGTAGATGCTAACGTGTCAGAATCCTTTACATTCAACTTTTCTAAGAAAAGCATTTTCAGTCTTGTAGTGTGTGCTTACAGTAACTAATTTTGTTGAAAATGGTTTCAAGTTATTCAAATTTGTACAGGACTGTAAAGATTTGTTGACAGCAAAACGTTGAAGAAAAAGCTTATAGAATAAAAGCTATAAAGTATATATTAGGATCTGCAAACAATGAAGAATTATGTAATATATTGTACAAATGTAAGCAAAGGCTCTGAAATAAAATGCCATAGTTTGTGAATCTTTGATTTTGTTTGTAAAAGATTAAGTAATATTAGTTCATTTCTGTATGTAAAGTCTGACTGGAACACATATCTCCAGCATGTATTATCACAAGGGGTTAGGGTTAAGTGACATACAAAAAAGAGAATATTCCACCTATAAAAATTAAAAGTCTATTAACCAGATATAGGATTTATTAGGCATTCCTATATCTTAAATCATACACTATTTTGCTTGAGTCTGAACATGAATACTTACGACTTAGTGATTTGTCTAAATAAGAAAATCAAAGTTTTTTGAAAATTTTCTTTAACACTTGAAACCATTACCAGCAGCTTTTTTTGGCCTTTTCATTTAATGGGACCATTGTGGGTCTCTTATACTTTCAGTGCACTCTACCCCCCCTTCCGTGCCCCCATTGTATATTGGAATCATCTGGGCATTGTTAAAACAATAATCAATACTCAGGCCCCACCCTCAAAGAGGTATTTTTAATATTGGTCTGGGATGGTGCCTGGATGTTGATCTTTTTTTAAGGCTCTCCATTGATTTTAATATGCATCTGGGTAGAGAGCCACTGTTTCACTCTAAACTTTTAAAATCAATAGTTTTGGGCCGGCCCCGTGGCCTAGCAGTTAAGTGCTTGCGCTCCGATGCTGGTGGCCCCAGTTCTGAGTGGCAATGGGGATAATTTTTTAACTATCTCCAACCACAGCCTCTTTCACACTCACTATTTTCCTCAGAAGTGTGTGCTGCCTTTCATTCTTTGTGAGTCCCTTTCTTCACCTTTCTTCTGATTTTAACCTGTTAATTAGGGATTTGGGGCTAATATCATATGATGGGTTTTGTATGTATAAGATGTAATCTGGAGGCATAGTTTCATGGTTTAGTTGTGGAAATGATATAAGACATAATAAAATTAAGTGCTAAATTGTATGGTGAGGGAAAATAAGCGCATGGGTTTAAAGGGGGCAGTGTTATGAGCATACAAGAACCATGATGACTGATACTGAAAGAGGAGATGCAAACCTTAACATTCAAGGGAGGTTCATCTGGAAATGGAATCTGTAGGCTCCAGTGGAGAGGAAGAGTCAAGACAGCCAGATGTGATGAGGTTGCAGTGCTCCAGATAGGAAGTGATTCTTGGAATAATGTTAGGGAGAGTGGGGAAGGAATGGGATGGGAGACATTCTGAAGAAAATGAATAGAATTTCTTAATTGGACTGTACAGGACAAATGGAGATGCCTCAGTTGCAAATGTGGACAAATGGATTTTTCTCATCTTTATGAGATACCACAAGGTCACAATTATGGGAAACCAGAATAAGAGACTTGGAAATCAAAACCAGGGCAAAACAAATATTGTTTTTTTCCATCAACTTATCTGATGTGGGCTATAAGAGATCACATATATTCCCAATGACTTCTGTTAAGCAGCTTTCACAAACCAAGTCTATTCCCAAAGATTCAAAGTTAAATCCTATTTTACCACCAAAACTACTCAATTCAATGATTCATCTAATGACAATCTAATATTTATCTCATTTCCTAAAAGACAACTTACCAAATATCCACTAGATACAGCGAATAGGGATACAGAATACAGGATGAATAAGACACCTATTTACATTTAGAAAGACTGTGTAAATAACACTAACGCAAGTACGCTGGAGGCTTGGAAAAATATCTCTATTGTAAATTTGTTGTTAGTGCCTTTGAGTCATTCCCACTCGTAGCGACCCTGTGGACAGCAGAGCTGAACCTTGACGCGTCTTTTTGTGTCATCCTCTGCACTTCTGGCACTGTATCAGACAAAGCTCCGCTGCCATTCATAGGGGTTTTGTCGCCAATTTCTTCAGAAGTGGGTGGCCAGGGCCGGCCCCGTGGCTTGGCGGTTAAGTGCGCGCGCTGTGCTGCCGGTGGCCCGGGTTCGGATCCCGGGTGCGCACCGACGCACCGCTCCTCTGGCCATGCTGACCATGCTGAGGCCGCGTCCCACATACAGCAACTAGAAGGATGTGCAGCTATGACAGACAACTATCTGCTGGGGCTTTGGGGGAAAAATAAATAAATAAAATCTTTAAAAAAAAAAAAAAGAAGTGGGTGGCCAGGTCTTTCTTCCTGGTCTGTCTTAGTCTGGAAGCTCTGCTGAAATCTGTCCACTGTAGGCGATGCTGCTGCTATTTGAAATATCCGTGACATAGCTTTTAGCATCACGGCAACACACAGCTGCCACAGTGTGACAACTGACAGACGGATGGTGTGGTTCCCTGACTGGGAAACAAACGCGGGTCACAGTGGAGAGAGCACCAGATCTTAACCACTAGACCACCAGGGGTGGTTTATTGTAAATAGCAAGGAAGTTTCCATAAGTGACATAGTATCTGAGCTGGGCCTTGAAGGATTTTGCAGGTGAAAATGAGAGGAAAAGAGAGCAATTGTGGGGGAATGAATAACAAGGTGGTGAAAAGAAGCAGGCTAAAATATAAGCATTTGGAGGGAGATGAGTCTAGCAAGGTAGGCCGAGAAAACAGCATACAAGTTTTGAATGCCAAGGATCTACTTTTCCTGGTAGAATAGCCCAGCAGAGCAGGTTAGAGCTGTGGTCTCTATTTGTTTTTTTTTTTTTTTTAAGATTTTATTTATTCATTTTTTTCCCCCCAAAGCCCCAGTAGATAGTTGTATGTCATAGGTTCACATCCTTCTAGTTGCTGTACGTGGGACTCGGTCTCGCGTTGGACAGAGAAGTGGTGCCTCGGGGCTCTATTTGTTTTTAACCTTCTTTTGAAATAATGTCAAATTTCAGAAAAGTTGCAAGAGCAGTACAAAGAACTCCCATGTAACCCTTCACACCAGTTCACCAATTGTTAGAACTGTGTTTACATACATCTCCGACAAACTCCCTTCCTCTTCCACAATCCAGGGGTTTTCGTACATGTTTTCCCTCTACTTGGATTGACCCCACTCCCAGCCTGGCTGATTCTTAGTCATACTTCAGGCCTCAACTACTCTAGAAAGACTCCCCTCACTCCCAAGACCAGGTTTCTCTCAAACAGAATGAGGTGCAGTACCAACTGAAGCCCCAAGACTCGCAGGGTCCGCCAGGTGTCCCCCACCCCCAGCGCTGCCGCCGGAGCGGAAGGGGCGTGGTTCCCAGAGCGGAAGTAGCCTGACCCGGAAGTGCGGGCTGACGTGCCACTGCTTCTCTAGAGGCGGTGGAATAAGCATGGCCCTGGAAGGGAAGAACAAACGGAAGAAAAAGAGTAGTGCCGAGGAGGGGTGAGTGGCGCGTGGCCTGTCTCCCTGGGCAGGGCTGTGCGTTCGGGAGCTCGGGAGGGCGAAGCGGTGGGGTGTGGCGAGGCGTGGAGTCGCTGAGTCTCTGGCGTCGTATCTAGAGAGAACCCCGACGGCGGCGTTCGTGCGAGTCTGACCGGAGACTACCTGGTTGGACAAGTCGCCAATAGCTTGTTCCACGGCAAGCGCCCCTCCAGAGGCAGCGCAGGTCGGCTGGCGTCCCTCTTCAACTCTTCTGAGCCTCAGCTTCCTCCTGTGTACGTGCCTGTGCCTAAAGTGAGTCACTGGGTTCTGTTCCGAATGGCCCATTGGGAGCTTTAAAACAAGCAGTCTACCACGCGGGGCATGATTTGTAAAGTGGGGCAGATAGGATTAATTTTAAGTAACCTTTCGTTACTGGACATACAAGTGAGAGAGAGAAGATGCTAATTTAGAAAGACCAGTAAGTTATTAAAAAGAATGAAGTCTCAAACATAACTTCAAACTTTTCAAAGGAAACCACCAAAAAAAGGAAACAGAATGAGGAGGAAGAAATTACATCCCAAATTCAAAGACCACTTTTGCAAGAACCTGCAAAAAAAAGGAAAGTGACGAAGAAACTTTCTGATGCAGACAAAAAGTTGGCAAACAGGTTGGTAAAATTCTCATAGTTGATGTTAAAGAAATTAGATGCTAAAGAAATTGAGATTCTTATACCTGAAATATTCATCTTCATGTTTTTCTCATTTCATAGTTTTAATAAAAAATTTTATTATGGTAAATCTTATACATATTCTTCAAAGGTTGAAGACGATAAGGAACCCCCAGGTACCCAGCATCGACAATTATTAATACTTGGCTGATCTTTTTTCATCTTGACCCCGTTCGTATCCCCATTATTAGGAAGCAAGCCTAAGACTTATGTTTCATCTGTAAATGCTTCAGTATGTATATAAAAGATGAGTTTGGTTTTGTTAAACTTACTCAGAGATCAGATTTCCCCCATTAGCTTAAGATTTTTTTTACAGATTATTTGAATCAAGATCCAAATAGAAGTGCCATCACAAATTCCTAGTTAACTTTCCTCAGTCTGTCAAGCCACTCTCTTCAAGCCCTTTCTTTTTTCTCTCTCAACAGGTGATCTTGATTCAGAGAGCTATTAATTGCTGATAGTTGTGAGCTACTACATTTTGTCCTACTTAATGTATCTATGCACATCCTTAATTTTTCTCTTTCTCTCAGAGAAAGGTGTCTTCCTTCTTGTCCAAGACTAATTCAATCACCTGTGCTGTGTATACTGTGTGCCTCTTCTTCTGCCTCCTTGGGGATTATGCATCAGATATATCCATCTTCCAGTCTTTCCTACATCTTTGATCTGTCCACCATGTACATGTGCTCAAGATTTTCATGTTAAAAAAAGAAATACTACAAAAACAAAACCCTGTCTACAGTCATGCGTCCCTGTTTGCTACCATTCTCTCAATCCTTCCCTTCATTGTCAGGCTTTTGGAAAAATAAGTCTATGCTTGTGCTGTCTTCTTTTTCTTGATCTATTTTCTCTTCCACACACTTGCAGTCTGGTTGTTTGTTTGTTGTGTTTGTTTTTGTTTGATCTGACCATACTTCTGAAACAGTGCTCAGTGAAGCCATGCTGACCTAGTCGCCATGTTTAATAGGCAGTACAGTCTTTGTCTTAGAAGTCTTCTCTGTTACTCTCACATGGCTGCTTTCCTTCTCGAAGCTATTCGATTCTTTGATAGCAATCTCTTTTGATTCTCCTCTTGTCTGTTCCTTCTCAGTGTTATTATGGTTACCTTTTCTCCTGACTGCTCCTTAAATGTTGATTTTCCTTAGGATTCTGTTCTCAATCATCTTCTCATGACCTTTTTTCACCCTTTGTTCTGGGCAATCTCATTTGTACCCGTGGCTCCATCATTCTGATCTCTCTCTTGATCTCTAGACCTGTATATCTGTTTGCCTACGTATGTTTCATATACACTTCAGATTCAGAATGCTTCAAACTGAGCTCATTCTCCTTATCAAACCTGTTCTCTGCATGAGTGTTAACATCAGCCTTTCAGTTTCCTGAGCCAGTGACTTGGGGTCATCTTATACTCTTTCTTTTCCCTGCGTGTCTAATCAGTTGCCAAGTTCTGATGATGCTGTCTTTTAATTATCTCTTTAATCTGTCTTCCCTTTTCCACCCCCTCCTTTGCTTTGGGTGGTGTGTTGTCTTCTCAGATACATGCAGTTGTCACTGTCTCCTTACTGGTCTCCGTTATCCAGCCTTGTCTCCTTCCTAATTATCTTCCTCTTTGCTGCCCAAATGATCTTCTTTAGGCACTTTTGAAAATGTTCAGTGGTTCTCCATCTTTTGTGGGATAGAATCTAAGCATAACAGACATGGTCCTTCTTGACCTGGGTCCCACCTTACCATACTGTCTCATTTCCTTTTACTCCCACTAGGTACTTTATATGCCATAAGAAACCAAGTGGAGCTTATGGTCTATTGGAGGAATATTAATGGTCAGCATTTACTGAGGACTGAGGATGTACCAGATGCTGCCCATTTCTCCTCTGAGAAGCCTGTCTTGTTTCTTTTATGTTTCTACACCATGTATTACCATTTTATAATTTATATTTATTTATATTAAATTTATATTTCTACACCATGTGTTACCATTTTGTGAACTTTGCATATCTCTTCAGAGACGAGACTATTGAAAGGCCTTTAATAGTCTCTTTATCTTTGTCTCCCCAGAGGCTAGAACTGAGTAAGAACCCAGTAAATATTTACTAAATGAATGAATCATTTTTATGACTCCTACTACCCATTCTCTCTCCTCACTCCGTAAGCTCCTGGACCAGTTCTCTTCTTGGACTGATGCTCAGACCTCACTTATCCATGTGCACCAATACTTTATATTGTATTTGCCATTTCATAATTTACTTTTGACAAGCAGTCCTTTAAATATTACAGAACTACTATAAGTAGGAAATCTGGTTTTTTCCTATTGGCCATATTGTTTTGCAGGCATATTAACCTTTATAGACCCCCTGGGAGTGCTACAGTACCCCTAGAGTTCTAGAGCAGAGAATGCAATTAGGCACTGGTAGAGTGTAGACTAAATCTCCAAGAGCTTTGAATGAACTAACTTTTGTTTAAATGAACTTGTTGTTGCTTTGCTATTACCTGGCAGTTTTAACATGTCTTCAAAAATTGAGCTTAACTTTTTCTAATTCTTGAGTTTTCTAAAGATACTAGTTACTTTTTGATAATGCTGTTTTTAAAATTTAGATACATTTGTGAATGGTAAGTTTTTATTTAGGAAAACCAAAAGTACATGGGAAAATTTCTAATCACTGTGCTTTGTCAAATACTAGACCCAACTTCCATGACGCTTCTTTCTTTCTTTTTTTTTTTTTTTTGGCCTTAAAAAGAGAAAACGCTCTAGCACGTGCTGATTTAGAAGAAGAAATTCACCAGAAGCAAGGGCAGAAAAGGAAAAATTCTCAATGTGGTGTTAAAGTAGCAGATAAAAAAGTACTTGATGATGTGGATCACACAGTAGTACATCAAAGAAAGAAAATTGAAACCAACCAAGAAGAAGAGAGATTAAAGAATGAGAGAACTGTGTTTGTTGGGAATTTGCCTGTCACATGTAATAAGAAGGTGAGTGTGTAATCTGTATATTGTAGAGATTCAGAGAAGTTAATAATTCATAACTTTGTTTACTGTTCCTTTACTAATAAGCATGTCATTAATAAGTCATTAGTATATAACTTCATTATAATGACTACATAAATCCTTCTGTAGATTGATTCTAGTATCCACCCCCTCCTTTCCATTGCCATGCTCACTGCCCTGATTCAGCCTTTTGCAAATTTTACTTGAACTATTGCAGTGGCCTCCTGTCTATTGTTTTTTTTTTTCCCCTTCCAGCCATATCTCCTATTACATACCACTAGAGCTTAAGATCCACGTGTGCAGGGATATTGATCTCTTTTCTTCACTGCCCTATCCCTAGCGCTTGAAACAGTGCCTCGAATATAGTGGAGGCTTGATAAATACTTGTCATCTGAATGAATACATCTCAAGTTTCTTCCATTATGTGAGGTTCATTAAACCAAAAACATGCCTGTAACTTTCTGTGTGTTCATGTCATAGTAAGACTGTTGGCGGTCCCTTGGGTCAAAATCCTGCTCATCTTTTGAAGGACAATTTATATTTCACTTCCTTAAAAACAAACAGTACAAAAAACTTACTTCCTGGTTTTTCCCTTTCCCCCTTACTCTTTTGTCTGCTAGGATTTGATTTGTGATTATTTTGTAGAACAATAACACATTTTGCTTTGGAGCATTGTTTTGGTTTTTGATCCTCCTATTAGATTTTATAAGAGGCTCAAGGGAGGGGAGTGTGTATGGTGCCTTGCACATTCAATAAGTTAGTTTTGAATTAGAATTGGTTATAAGAATTATTGTCCTAGTTGTAAAACATACACATTCTTCACTTGCTGAGCCAGCCATAAGAATAATGTATAAAATTCATCCTCTAGATTTTTCTTTAACCTGATGGTCCTAATTCTAGACAGTTGGGGAATTTCTCATAGTGACATAAGCATCCTTAGAATTCATTTCTGCTTTAAGCCAATGTGAAAAGATGAGAGAATCAATGGAATATAGAATCTGAGTTTACATGCGGTCAAGATTATAAAAGCTTGAAAGACAAAAATGTTGTCTATCTTATGGGTACTAAAGTAACTTGAATTGTGTATTCTTTTTATAGAAGTTTCATTAAAAGATTTTTGTCTTCCAACTGAATAGTCACCTCCTTTTCCTGAAGTGTTCTTAAAATAAAACCTGGTGGTAAAAGATTATCAGACAGTTTTACTTAAATCCTTTTTGTAGCACTTATTTGTTGTTATGAAAGTGAACTGAAGTATATATATATATTTTTTTATTTTAGAAGCTGAAGTCATTTTTTAAAGAGTATGGACAAATAGAATCTGTACGATTTCGTTCTCTGGTATGTTTTCTCCTTAAAATTATATAATCTTAAAACATATTGCATTTAAATCGGACTTATTAATATGTTGGTATTAATGAGATGGAGGAGCACTTGCTTTAACCTTCTAAATCAACAGGTTCAAATCTAGCCCAAGGGAAGAGTTGCTCTTAGTATCTATTGCTGACTCTTGGACTTTGTTAAGTAATTTAATGGGTTCACATATTAAAATGATATCCTTGTTATTAAGGCCAACAATGTATTTTGGAGGGTAGATGGGTGACTTTTGTTCGTTGTGTCAATTGCATAGGCAAAAATGGTAATACGACTGAAAATAAAGTGAACCCGAGTATACAGGGGATCCCTTTATTTGCCCAATTAAAGATACCACAGTTGTCTTTTTTGCCAGCTGGCATGTATAAACTCTTAAGAGATATGGATGAAGTAATATGTCTTATATTATTTATAAATTTAGTTAGATGTTTAAAATCACATAGGATATACAATAAAATATTAATTTAGAAATATTGCTTTTTTCCATACTCATTTTATAGAACAATTTTCCTTACATTTTTCACATACATCTTCAATATCAGTGTCCCTTCATGACCAGAGACCCAGTCCTTCAAGTCATCTGACACAGTTTGAGCGCACAAGTATGTTTACTTCCATTTAGGTTGAGAGTCACTGCCTGTTAAATCTAAATATGGTACTGTCAATGGAAATTTTTGTCCTAAGCCACCAGGTTCCGTTCACATAACATTAGGACAGTTGTTTTCTGATTCAGTATTTCTGTAGAATGTTTTTAATCACATCATATCAGAGTTAGATGTTTAAAATTCAATTAATTAAAATATAATTAACTTAAAGTAATATTTCAAATAATGAATTTTCTTTAATACTTTTTTTTCTCTTAAAAGATTCCAGCAGAGGGAACTCTGTCCAAAAAGTTGGCAGCAATAAAGTAAGTTTATAATTAGAGAAAGGGAGTAATCTTAAACTCTCTTCCATTTTCGTTAAAATTGAGATCACTTCATAGATTTTCATATTGGAATAATACATTATGCTTTACTGTTTCCCTGTGTCTGTAATAGCATGTAAATTTGTCACTGCTGGCCCAAGACCACTTTAAGTTCTCTGAGGGTTTGGGGACCATACTGGTAGTGTGACTTATGGTTCAAATTCTCAGGGGATTTTCCCACTTTTCCACCTAGTGCCAAGGATGAGACATGCAAGTTTCCTTTCCCTTTATTTCTCTTTTTTTTTAATTGAAATATAATCGACATATAACATTATGTAAGTTTAAGGTGTATGACCTTTATTTTTCATTTACCTTCAGTTTTTTTTTTTTTTTCCCCCTTTGTCTCCCCAAAGCCCCAGTAGATAGTTGTATGTCACAGTTGCACATCCTTCTAGTTGCTGTATGTGGGACGCCGCCTCAGCATGGCCAGACCAGCGGTGCATCGGTGCGTCAGTGCGTGCCCGGGATCTGAACCCGGGCCACCAGTAGCGGAGTGTGCTCACTTAACTGCTAAGCCACGGGGCCGGCCCCTACCTTCAGTTTTATGCAGGGTTTCCTATTAGTCTCCCAATCATGGGGGTTTTTTTCTTCCTTACTGACACATGAAATGATGGATTTTACAAGCAGAAATGTATATATTACATATGTATTAGATATGTATATATAAAATAGATATATAGATTTAAATATATTTAACTCTATATAAATATAGTTACATTAGTTAAAATATGATAATGTACTTTAAAAACATTTCTGGGAATCCTGTTATATCAAGATTTTTGAATTGCAACAGTCCCTTTGGACATCTTGGCGAGTTCATTTCTACATTCATTCCTATTTTGGAATTATTTGGCAGACCAGTTCTTTGACAGTTTTTTCCCATAACCATCACAGCTCCAGGTGTATAGTTAACACTTGAGAAATATGTGTTAATATGTGTTACTGACCATAATAACATTTGGTGAGGTATCCAAACATGTAAGTCCTCCTATCTGCAAGGCATTGTTCAGATGCTGTGGGGAATGGAAAATGTGGTAAGATACAACCCTTCTTCTTTGGGCCATACAAACTTATTTCTGTATGAGGCTGAAACCCAGGGGCCTAAATTTCAGCAGAAACAAAGGTTCTGATAGGAGTATGTACTAGTACTGAGGAGTTTTGGTGCCAGAAAAATGGAGTTTGCTCGCTATGATTGCCATCAGCTCTGCCACACCCCCAATTAAAAAATTTTTTTAATCTAATTATTTGCATAAGTAATGAAGCAAATAGTTAAAAATAAAGTCTAAAAGGGTATGCAGTGAAAAGTTTCTTTCCTACAACTTGTTCCTAGTCAGCCAATTCCCTGCCTCAGGCAACTGCTGTTTTTACTTTCTTATATAACCTTTTAGAGACATTTTATGCATTTACAGTTGATACACCTACATGTTCTACCCCTCCACACATAAGTTTTTGAGGCAGTGGTATTCAGCATATTTACTACTCCACATCTTCCTTTTTTCCACTTACTGTTAACTTGGAGATCTGTTTATATCAGTGTAAAAATTGCTTCCCCGTTCTTTTTCAGAGCATCTTGGTATTCTGTAAGGTATACCATAATATGTTTTAACAAACCCTCCATTGATGGACATTTAGGTTTTTTTCCAGTCTGGTGGCCATTACAAATAATGCTGGAGTGTATGACCTTGTACTTATGTAATTTTGTACATGTGTGAATTTATCTGTGGGATAAACATCTAGTAGTGGAATTGCTTGGTCAAGAGGGTCTTTGCATTTGTGATTTTGACTGCTATCCCATAGAGATAGTAACCTATTTATGTTCCCACACCTTTACCAACAGTATGTTTTTGAGCTTTCTGATCATTGGCAACCTGATAGGGGAAAATGGTATTTCTAATTTGCATTTCTCTTATGAGTAAGCATCTTTTCGTATATTCAAGAGTTTTTTTTTCCTTTCATCTGAATTGTTACTGTCATTTGCCCACTTTTTTTTTTTCTGTTGAATTGTAGGAGTTAAGGAAATTAGCCTTTTGTGATTTGAGTTACAGATATTTTTCCCTATTTGTCATTTGCATTTTTGCTCTGCTATGGGGGAATTTGCCGTGTAAAACTTTTTTGCTTTTTCATATGATTGAAAATTTTTTAACCTTTTTTTCTGCTTTATTAAAGCATAAGTTACCTTCAATAAGCCATACATATTTGAAGTGTACAGTTTTATGATTTTAACTTATGTATGCACTCGTGAAATCATGGCCACAGTCAAGATGCTGAATGCTTCATCACCCCCCATTTCATCATCCCTGCCCGTCTCCAGGTGACCACTGGCCTGCTTCTTATCTCTGTTGGTAGTTTGCATTTTCTAGAATTTTGTGTAAATGGACTCATCAGACAGGATGTACTTTTGTCTGACTTCTTTTGCTCAGCTTGATGATTTTGAGATTCATCCAAATTGTTGGATGCTCAGGGACTTATATTCTTTTTTATTGCCCAGTAGTATTCCATTGCATAGAAGTACCAAATTTTGTTTATCCACTCACCAGTTGATGAACATTCAGGTTATTTCAGGTTTGGGGCTATCATGAATAAAGGTACTAAAAACATTTGCATACAGTCATTTCTCCTGAGAAAGTACCTGGAGGTGTGGGATTGAAGAGCACAGAAGTTTTAAATTTTATTGAAGATCCAGTTTAGAGAGTGCTATTGTTTGGTGGTCTAGTAGGGGGCGATGTGGTTCTCTGTTGTCCTGGTCCAGCCTTAGACACAGGCAGGCCCAGTATATCTACATCTCAGAAGCGTGCCTGATTGGCCTTCGTTCCTGTGGCAGCCAAACTCCGCCTTATGCCTTTGGTGGGTCTTGTGCCAGAGAACATTTCCCAACCCTTGCCCAGTGGTAGGAGGCCTCCCTTCCTCTGGCCACAAGAGATCTTCCCTGTGCCCTGGGGGTGACAGGGTTTACTGCCCCTGCAGCTTAGCCTTTTCCTCCATAGGGAGAAGAATCCAGATGGGGCTTTGTCCCTTCCCCACACTAGCTTCAGTGGTTCTCTTCTTTTCCTAGGTGGAAGCAGAACTCGAGATGTCTAGATGTCATTAACACCGAGATGTCTAGATGTCATTAGTTGTTAAAAATCATCCATCAAGCTTGATGCAAGGCATGTTCTTGCCAGGTAGAAAGGGGCAGAGTTACATGCTTACACTTTGTATCCCCTGAGGCAAGGAGACATTTTCTCAGAGTAACAGAGTATAATACAATTATTAAGATTTTTTTAAAGTCACTTTCCATTTATGTTGTCTTGGGGCTTATCTTAGTCCATTTGGGCTGCTATAACAAAATACTGGAGATTAGAAGGCTTATAAACAACAGAAATTTATTTCTCTCAGTTTTGGAGGCTGGGAAGTCCAAGATGAGTGTCTGGAGGCTGGGAAGTCCAAGATGAGGGTACTAGCATGGTTGCGTTCTGGTGAGAGCTGGCTTCCTAATTCATAGCCAGCACCTTCTTGCTGTGTCCTCACATGGCAGGAGAGACTGGGAGCTCTGTGGGGCCTCTTTTATAAGAGCACTAATCCTATTTATGAGGACTCCACCCTCATGACCTAAAGACCTCCCAAAGGCCCCACCTCCTCTTACCATTACATTGGGCATTAATGGATTTCAACAAAGGAATTTAGGGGAGACACAAAAATTAAGACACTCAGGGTTGCACCAGGATATGTTGGATTTGGATGTTGTCAGCAGCTGTGTGTTCCATGGAAAGAATAGGGGCTCTGGAGTCAGCTAGACTTGGTTTAAGTGCTAGAGTGGCTGCTTATTACCTTATGATTGTGGTCAGGTACTTCTCCAAGTCTCAGCTTCCTCATCCATAAAAATCAGAAAACTAACATCCATGTCGGAGGTGAGAGATTAAATGAAATACATAAAATGTCTAACCCAGTGCTGGTGTGTATTAGGCATTCAATAAATAATAGCTAATTTTATCAATATAAAACTATTAGATAGTATAGTAGTATTAGAGAATGCCATGAACCATGCCCTGAAATTATTTTCTAATACCTTTCTTTAGGATACTCATTTGTTCATTAATGTTTTTGTTACTTGAAAACAATAGGGTAATGTCTTCAGGGAAGGATCTGTAGTCATTACTAGGTCCTATTTGTGATTGGTCACATCTAAATTATATCACCATTTTGCAAACCTAGTGAACTAATGGGTTTAGGCATTGAGCAGAGACAGCTGCAGTCATTAAAAAAGAGTGAGAACTAGTCATAACATGCCTCCCATTGAAAGAACACAGCACTACCTACAGTCTTGACAAAGGGGTCAAATCTGAGTCCACTGAGACTCAGATTTGTATCCAGCTGCCAATTTGCAAGAAATATAGAGTCAGAGGTACATGTTGAACTGCACTGTGAGCTTATAATCAGCAAAATCCGGGCTCTGGGAAATTCTGTAGGTCAAACAGTAAGATAACAGGAGAGATATAGGGGGAATCCTGTAGGTTAAACAAGACTCAAAAAACTTTTCAAGTGGAAAAATGGACAAGACCAAAGTATAAGGTGTAGGAATAGACGCTTCGGTGGTAAAACCATGTAGACACGCAGAAAAGTGGTTTCTCTAAAAGTGGGGATGATGGTTACCTTTAGAGGGGAGGAGGGGCTGCAATTGGGAAGGCCACAGAGAGGCTTCTGGGGTGGGTGGTGGCTGCAAGGGAGTTGACCTGTTAATAATTCACTAAGCTCAACATGTTTGTGTAGTTTTTATTTTACAGTAAAAAGGAAAAATTAAGTTGTCTTTCCCATCTGTTGATATGTGTGTTAGATACAGAGGTGCAGCTAAGATTGTAGTTTCTAGCCTTGTGGCATTGCATGGGTGGTCACACATGGCTGGACCTCTCCCAGTGATGACTAGTAAGAAGGCATGGGTTACATGTTTTGGCCAGTATCTCTGTAAGTTGTGTGTTATTTTTTGAGTTATTACTAAATATGTATTAAAAGAGATGAAACTTCTCCCAGGAATTCTTGTCATATGTGTTGATTGAGAGCAGAAAATAAGCTGTATTTATTTTAGTGACTTTGAGATTAAATAATTTTACATTGTCTTCTTTTTTGCTTTTTGTGCAGACATAAAATTCATCCCAATCAGAAAAATATTAATGCTTATGTTGTGTTTAAGGATGAGAGTGCTGCTACAAAAGCACTGAAAAGGTAATTTTATCTTTTTGAGGTTTGAACAGAATTACTGTATTTAAGTATGTATGACTTCATGTTTTATTCTTGGTTTCACTTGACAGCAAATATTATGGTAACTCTGTGCTCATTTTTAACAGCCATTTTCCTTCGTATTTATAATACAGAAATGGGGCCCAAATTGCTGATGGATTTCGTATTAGAGTTGATCTTGCATCAGAGACCTCATCTGTAAGTAGTACATGAATTGTTTAACGAACTTAACCAGAGTCTTGTAGAGAGAAATGTTTTCTTCTGAGTTTTTGCTGGGAGAGGAGTGGAATCAGCAGTGAGCATGAGGGAAGCACAGAAGGAAACATCCTGTGCCCTCTGTGGTCACAGCATTGGTGCCTAGAATGATGCAAATGGACTTGAGTCCACATTAGCATCAAGAACGTGGTCCGCCTACCCCCACCATTAAATTGAATAATCAGAGAGAGTTAGGCTGGAAGATATGTTAGAGATCATCCACACAAACACCTTATTTTATAGACTGAGATCTAGAAAGTTAAATTATTCATTAAACAGTTTTTGAGTTCCTACTCTGTCAGGTGTACAGTGCTAAGATATAGTCTCAATTCTCTAGGAGTTCACTGTGTAAATATGAAGATGAGCAGATGGGCTGATCATGGCACTATTTTATGATAAATATTGTCATAAATGCAGACGATGCTTTGTCAGCTCAGGAATGGGGCATTTGGCTTGGGGAGGTGCCGGCAAGAAGGGACAAAGGAGGGTTTCCAGGAGAACAGGTGTTATATAAATCTTGGAAGATGAGTCCATGTTATCTAGGCAAAAAAAAATTTTTTTTAAGAGGATGAGGATATCCTGGCAGGAAAAACAATATAAGTGGTGGGGACCAAAACTTAATTTGCTCAGGGAATAGCAAGAGCTTAATATAGTTATTAGTAGGTAGAGTGTGAGGAGAGGCAGCAATGAGAGTTGCTGTTGGAGAAATAGTTAGAGTTCCAATTATGAAGACGCTGGTCTGCCATGTTGAAGAGCCTGGATTTTGTCCAGGAGCTGTTCCACCAGTTGAAACACAGGAGTGATGTGACCAGATTTGCATTTTACAAAAGTCTCTCGAAATGAATGAGGGATGGGTTGTAAGAACTCACCACAGGGCCAGCCCCGTGGCTTAGTGGTTAAGTGCGCGCGCTCCGCTGCTGGCGGCCCGGGTTCGGATCCCGGGCGCGCACCGACGCACCACTTCTCCGGCCATGCGGAGGCCGCATCCCACATACAGCAACTAGAAGGATGTGCAACTATGACATACAACTATCTACTGGGGCTTTGGGGGGAAAATAAATAAAATTAAAAAAAAAAAGAACTCACCACAGCAACAGTGCATTACTGTCGTTGTCAGAGTGACCTAACTGAGCAATGACAGAGGCCTGGTTGACATCCCTGGCTTTGATTGTGGACCTAGCCCAGGGTCAGCAAAATGGCACGAGGGCCAAATCCACCTCCCACCTGTTTTTTTCATAAAGTTTTATTAGCATACAGCCACACCCATTAGGTTATGTATTACATATTGTACTATAACGGCAGAGATGAGTAGTTACAACAGAGACCACATGGCCCGCAAAGCCTAAAATATTTGCTACCTGGCCCTTTACAGAAAACTTTTGCTCACCCCCAATATAGCCTGTCTTTCTTGAGCACTGCCATGTGTCAGTGCTAGCTGTGAACAAAAAATCACCCCCTCGTCCGGTGCTCATTCACATTCCAGCAGGGAAAATGGAAGAAACAATCAAACATGGGACTGGTGTGTGGTTAAATCAGGAGATGGAGACCCGTCAGATACATGGGGTGAGGAAAAGGGTAGATTTTAGGATGACTTCCATTTCCTGCTCCCCTGGGTGATTTTTATTAACACTCTTTGTGTTTCAGAGGGACAAGAGATCAGTATTTGTGGGGAATCTCCCATACAGTAAGTTTGTTTAAACAAATTTTAAGTACCTGTTTATTGTTAAAATAACATCTGAGTAGTAACTTTATGTTTTGCTTTAAGACTAACTTTAGAAAGAGTGGAATGTAACTTGGACTAATTCTCATGGGGCTATGGTTAACTTGCTATATTATTAAACATCTCCAACTTTCTAAGGCAATTGCAAGTCTTTACTTTGGTTGGATTTGTTTTTAGAAGTTGAAGAATCTGCAGTTGAGAAACACTTTTTGGACTGTGGGAGTATTGTGGCTGTAAGGATTGTGAGAGACCAAGTTACAGGAGTCGGCAGAGGGTTTGGCTATGTGCTGTTTGAGGTATGGGAGACTAATGCATTGTCACTGTCCTTTGAAATGTGCTGGGAAGAGTTGTCACTGCTGTTGCATCATTCAGACATAACTGTCACTTTCACCCTCAAGATCCATCTTAAGAAATCTAAATTCATAACCTGCCATAAGGGTACTGTTCCTTTAATAGCAGCTAACCAAAAGATGTTCTAGTTCCCTCTTTCTCCATAAAAATGCTACTAAATAATGTTTTAGATGTTGGATATGAAAGGTATTAACTCTGTGAATCTCCACCTTCTGTAAAACTGAGAAAAGAATTGACTGTTCACTCAGGTAGAAGAAGATTTTAGTCTTTGTACAAAATTGGTTATATTTAGTTAACTAAATATTAACCAGTGTTTCATGCCTAACATTATTAGAATATACATATCTGATGGCAGTTAAGTTTCTCATCCCTCCACAACAACCCATTAATACATTTCCTTTCAGTTTTCTCCTGGGCTGCCTTTTTTATAGTTGAACTTTAATCCGTGAACATAAAATTTTGCAGCGTGCTTTATGTTGTTTTCTATTGTGTAAGCATGTTCCAGTGAGTGATATAATTTATTCTGTCTTTTCCCTTATGTTTCCCAAATGTTGCACATTGCAGTGTTCTCTGTTTTTCCCTGTAATAATGAAATTGGAGTGGTTATGTTTTTTTCTTCAAATGTTTGCCTGCATTTTTGGATTACTTCCTCAGGAGATAGATTCCCAGGGGGCAATTACTAACTAGGTCAAGACATGTGACCATTTTTAAGATTCCTGATATGTATTACCAGATAGCTTTTAAGAAAGGTTGTCACAGCCTTATGTTTCCCTCATTACTGTATTGTAGTCATCTTAGTGTTTTTCTGTTGTCTTCTGACTATTGCTAAGTTTGTAAAGTCCTTTAACAAACATCTTATGAACATTTGGGATTGTTAGCATTTAGTAGTTCTATATTAGAATAAAAGAATAAGAGAATTTTGGATCTAAACAGAACCCTACAAGACATCTAGTCCAACATCTCAGGGACTGTCATAGAGAGTTCCCTGCTCTCAGGTCAACTAATGCAGGGGGGCTTTTGCAGAAAGACCCTTGTAAGGAGGTTCATGGGTTTAAAAGATTGCATATGACTAGTTTAGTTGAAACTTCATTTTACAATGAGAAAATGAAGGCTGTTAGATTTTCACTTATCCGATTATTTGACAAGGCAGCTTGAATGCTTCCTGGGGAAAAACTTCTGAGGAGCATGATTAAAACGAGACTACAAACACAGCTGCTGAAACTCTTGGGAATGCACTTTTTGGATGTGAAAACGGGAAGGGTTTCTATGTGCAAGCCTGAAAATACTTCTAATCCATTAAAGTTGCAATTTTACTAGTTTCTTTCCGAATAAGTTTCTGGTGGAAATTAATATATTGATTTTTATTGCAGAATACAGATGCTGTTCATCTTGCTCTGAAATTAAATAATTCTGAACTGATGGGAAGAAAACTCAGAGTCATGCGTTCTGTTAATAAAGAAAAATTAAAACAAAATTCAACTCCCAATTTGAAGAATGTCACTAAACCTAAGCAGGGACTTAAAGCCTCAAAAAACGTAGGACATTCTAAAAGTTTATTTATTGGAGAAAAGGCTGTTCTCATTAAGAAGAAAAAGAAAGGACAGAAGAAAAGTGGATGGACTAAGAAAAAACAAAAGTAGCAATCCGAAGCTTTGTTTTTTCCCCACTGAGTACTGGTAATAAAAGTGTGTTGAACCCATGTATTGAGTTTCTGAATTTTTTATGGATGGCGTAGGTGAAGCGTGGAAACTTTTCCAGTTTATTCACATTGTAACAGTACCTTTGAAACCGTTGTTTTAAGATGTAGGTACATTAGTCACTGTAGATTATGTAATATTGCTAATGGCTTGAGATGATTCTAGATTTAGGGTGAACATTTAGAATTTTAGTTGTTATGTATTATTGTATTTAGAAATATATAATTAACACCAGTTATTTCAAGAATTACTTGGGATGAGACTACATTTTTGGAAAGTGAGTAAATTTGAAGAAAAATAAAACAATAAACCTTAATGCTGATTGTATCTAGACAGAGTATCAGAATAATTAAAGTGTGGAATACTGATCTAAGGTTGAATTACAATCCCTGAGAAGAAAGGTTTTGAGGGCTGTTATATAATAGCTATTCATTTTTCTTCCTTTCTCTTGCACTTATGATAAGTGGAGTTCTGGGTTTTAATTTTATTTCATCAACCTAATAATAACTAACCAACAAGAATGTTACATGAAATGCTGCTCTGATTTCTTATTCTTGACGAGTGATTAGACTGGTTGTTGAAGTCCTTGGCAAATTGGCTATAAAGCAGATTTCTACTTTTTTTTTTTTTTAATTTATTTTATTTTATTTTTTTGTGAGGGAGATCAGCCCTGAGCTAACATCTGTGCTAATCCTCCTCTTTTTGCTGAGGAAGACCGGCTCTGAGCTAACATCTGTTGCCAGTCCTCCTCCTTTTTTTTCTTCCCCAAAGCCCCAGTAGATAGTTGTATGTCATAGTTGCACATCCTTCTAGGTGCTGTATGTGGGACGCGGCCTCAGCATGGCCAGAGAAGCAGTGTGTCGGTGCGCGCCCTGGATCCGAACCCGGGCCGCCAGCAGCGGAGCACGCGCGCTTAACCGCTAAGCCACTGGGCCAGCCCTCTACTTTATTTTTAATTTGAAAAATATTCTCCCAGGAAAACTTGTGATTCTTAAATTAATGTCACCCAGTAGACCGAAACATTCTTTACAAAAATCATATTTAAAGGAAACATTTTCTGATAAAATGTGGTAATTAAGTCACAAACTATCAAGTTCAACAAGGGGAGAGAATACAGTTGCATTCCCTTGGGGCTTAACCTTGTGCTATAGCTGGTGCCCTGTCTCACAAATCTTAACCACACTTGATCTATATCCAGGAGGGAGGGGTGGGCGTAAACCAGGGAGGCTGATCTGAGGCAGGCAGAATCTGTGTTATGTGCATCATATCACCTAGGTGGGTAACGAAATGAGGGGACAGTGATTTACTACTAATTGTTTGGAAAAACTCTGTCTTTTGGGCATAGCATAAGGAAAACCTAATGGGTCTTTAAAATGTAGCTCTGTAGAAGGCAGAGAGAGCTCCATTATCCTGTATCTGGGACTGGATGTTTTACGCTTACTATCCACTATGATGATTAGAACTTTGTTTTTCATATGTAGGTTCAGTAAATAGTTATTACTTGATAATTTTTTAGCATTTTTGCGTACATTTCCAGTTAAATTTATATAAAGCATCATCTATAGACTATATAGATACATAGATTATATATAGTGTATAATTTTATTGTGTATATTTTATGGTGTCTATAGTGTATATTATATAATTTCAGTGTGGAGTGCTCCTTTTGGTGTCAGGTGTTCGTGTAGAGCCCTGGACTGAGTGTAAGGGCATCTGGTTCTTGACCCAGCTCTGTAGCTGTGCTTGCATGACCTTGGACAAGCCTCTCAACCTCTTTATCTAAGTATCTTGAAATAAAGGGCTTAGACTAGATCAGCGGTTTCACTTTTTTGTCTATGATCTGCAACAGCTTTAATTTTACATTGTGACCAATACAATCATGGATGTATTTAACTGACATGAAAGTTTCACATGACAGTACTGGTCCCTACTACAGTATTGCCATCTAATATTTTTTATTCTGTTTTATTAAAAACACTGGTTATGGTCCACTAAGGTCATTCCACAACCCACTAATGATTCCACTCACAAACATGTGCCTAGGGGATTTCCAGGCTGTTTCTATTTCAGGAGTCTATGCTTGTCGGTGTTTTACAACAGGTATTTAAAAATGTAGAGTGGTTAAGAGATTCAGAGGTGCAGATGTTGCTCTTACTCTGCTTTGTGTAAATATGCTGCCTAGTATATTGTACCTCAGTAGTGACCTCAACATTTACATTGCATTTACTATACACAACACAAGGATAGAGAAGAAGTAGCATGTTTGTTTATTCAGTAGTCATAATCTAATGGCCACATAGTCTACTCAGATTTTCAAGAGAGTCAGGTACTAGGCCTCATGTCATCTGTGTCACCTTGGACAAGTCTTTTCTGTTCCAATATACCTGAGGCTCAGGACCTACCTCTATCAGTTAAGGTTCACTGACAGCTTTTTGGGATGGGAAGAATCAGAAGGTATGTGAAGGGTAGAAGGAAAGGCTTTTTGTGTTGTGTGCAATCCTCTGATCTCAATCATTTTATCTGCTTTGGTTACACATGCACCTCCATGCTCTTTCCTTCCCCTACCCAGTCCAAGCAATGCACACATACCTTTGATCTAATTTCCAGTCTTCCATAGGGTCTCAGGTTCATGATCATTTAAGCAGAAGGGCTTTCCCGGACTTCTGGACTAGGTTAGGGCCTCTGGCTAAATGTTTCCATAAGTACCCTTGCAATGACTTCTGACACCAACTACCCAGGTAGGTGAAACTTCATAGGTTAAAGACACAGTCTCCTATAAGACTGTCCTCACTTCAGACATCAGTCACAAATTTAGGGGTGGTGTCTCCAGGTCACTCACTTGACCAGCTGGCTACTAATTTGGGGGTTACCACTACCCCCTCAGGTTCAATAATTCACTATAAGGACTCACAGAACTCAGGAACGTGCTACACTTAGAATTACAGTTTTATAGCAAAAGGATACAAATCAAAACCAGCCAAAGTGAAAGACTCATAGGGAGAGGTCTGGGAGAATCCCAAATTCAAAGCTTCTGTTGCCTCCTCCCTATAGAGTCACAACACTACACCCTCCTAGCACATGGCACATTGATGTGTAACTATCTGAAGTTTCGCCAGCCTGGGAAACTCAACGCTTCCGTGCCCAGAGTTTTATCTGGATTTCATTATGTAAGCCACCAAGTTGAATTCAACCTCCAGGCCCCCCTCTCCCCTCCCCAGAGGTATGGCTGGTACCACCTGGATCAAAGTCCCAAACGTCTAATCACATAGCTGGTCTTTCTGGCCTGGCCATGCCATGCCCATGATGAGCCATCTCCTTAGCATAAACTGTCAGGGCCCGCCATGAGGTTCTATCACTCCAAGGCTTTAAGAGGATCTCTCGCATGACTGGGGACAGAGGCCAGCCAAATTCTTTATTACACAACCTTATACTTGACTTCTCGTACCATGCCTCTCATCAATTTATAGTTGTTGAACGTCTGCTTTCTGCCCAAGGTTGTGTCTTTTTAAACTTAAACTACATATGTTTTCAGTGGCTATTAAGACCACTCACATTTTCTATTTTTTTTCTTCAATCTCTTTTACCAGCTATATTTTTCCAGGAACTGCTCCATTTAATTTTCTTCTGCTCCTCATGAGACTATATTGTAACATTCTTTGAAGTTGAATCACCAGATTATGGTGCTTGTTGCACAATGGATTGTGACTGACCTTGAAAAGCAAATTCAGATAAATCCAAAGTCACCGGTTGCCTGTATTATACAAAAATAAAATGAAACATTTGACGTCAGCGACCTTCCATCTTTGCCTGACACCCACAAGGAAGTCAGCTACAAAGTCTTTTGAGTATGTGCACGCCGGCCACGCAGTCCCCTCGTTACATCACGCTCACGGGCTTTTAAGGAAATGCGCGATCACTCGCAACACCCTGACACCAACGCCGACAACCGCCCCGGGGCACCTTGACAACGGCGCCTAGGGCCCCTGCGCAGGCGCAGAAGCGGCGCGGGCGTCTCTGCTCAGGCACTGCCGAGGACGCCCCCGAGGGCCTCGGACCTCTGGGGCCGGAAGTGGCGCGTGTTCGGCCTTTCCGGGTCCCTCGCGGCGGGCGTCAGGTCTGAGCGGCGTCGTCAGCTCTAAGGGTTCGCGGCTAACGGCGTCTTTGCGGGCCCAGCCGCCGCCGACCCTACTCCTCTGGAGAGAAGATGGTGGGCCGGAACAGCGCCATCGCCGCGGGTGTGTGCGGGGCCCTTTTCATCGGGTACTGCATTTACTTCGACCGCAAGAGACGGAGTGACCCCAACTTCAAGAACAGGCTGCGAGAACGTGAGTGGGTCCCCTCGCCCCCAGGCTTGCTGCTCCCTCCGTCTCTCCCCCCCCGCGCGCCGCCGTTCTCAGCGTGCCCCTCCCCGCCGGGCGGGCTGGGGGCGTCGGGCTGCCGCGCGCTGGGCGGCCGCGTGGTGTAGGCCGGCCTGGCGGCCGCGAGCTAACCACCCGGAAAAAGGTGATGGCGCTGGCTGCGCGCTCCCGGCGCCCCGTCTGGCTCGGGTGCCCTGCATGATTCTCTCCATTTTGGAGGAACGATCTTTCCCATTTTGTTTTTCCCAAACGCTTTTGCTATATGAGTGCACTCTTCGTTTGTATTACAATTTAGGATGTGTGTGGGACGCGGGGCAGGGGTAAGGTCTTTTTTTGTCGTTCACCTTTTTAAATCTCTATTCTTAACTCGAAAGTCGTGTTTTTTGTATTTTACGGATTTGCGCTTGAGACTAAATTCGCAAATCCAACGCGGTATCGTTGTTGCATTCTTAAACCCTCTTGGCAGCTTCGTTCTAAATGCTTCCAAGATATGAATGAATGCTATAGAAATTGCAGGGGAGTCCAAAGGGCTGCGCTTCGCCTGTGGCTCAGTCTTATTTCATACCTGCGACATCTTTTAGGAGAGATTTACAAGAGAGAAATCGTGTCACCAGAACCATTGTGGTCTTTGAGTTTCGAAGGCATACTCGTTTGCAACAGTAGATGAGCAAATTTGTGGCAATAAGAAATATTTTTGTAACTTATCTGGGTTGCTCAGTCAAAACAGTTTCTGAAATTAAAATTGATAGGTAAGTTATTAAAGCCCCGGAAGTACAAAGAAGTGATTATCCTATTTTATACTTAGTATTTTATTAAGCTATAATAAGTCATTTCTGGTGTTCTCTAGCCACATGTGGCTAGTGACTAGCGTATTGAACATCACTGATGTTACACTAGCTGCAGTATGACGTCTAATTCTAGCTCTCATGTTTTAAGAGGGAAGGGATATAGAGATAATTTATTTATGGTTAGGTAGAGTAATGGAAAGAATGCTGTTTTGGATTCACACTGAGTTTCCAGGCCCAAGTTAGTCACAGATTAGCAGCATAATCTTGGGCTTTCTGAATCTTAATTTTCTTAGCTTGTGAAATCAGATGATGCCATCTTGCTCTAGTTGGTTTTGTGAAGATTGAGATGTTGAAGTGCCCACCACCATTCCTGTTATAGGGAAGGCCCCTCCATAAATGCTGGCTGTAAATGTAACTACTGGAATTTAGATCGTTTTCCTTTGCTTTTAAAAATAGTTGGGGTGTGTGTGGGGATGCAGAGCTCTAAAGAATGGATTAACCCTTTCTTCCTTGGAAACACTGCAAGCCTGTTGTTGAAAACCTTGAAAAACTAATTTTTTGTTGAAGAAATCATAGAAGCTTTCATTTTAGAGAAATTCAAAAATCTCTTATTTTCAAAATTCCTTTTCCATCATCTTAAGTCCATAAATTTTTTTTCTGGCTTTAGCAATAGCCTAACAATTTAAGTGGTCAGGGTTGAATTATTATTAGCTGAGTGACCTTGGGCAACTGACTTAAAGCTTTAGTTTCCCTTTTTTGTAAAATAGTGTAGTAAATGTAGGGTTTAGTACAGTCCCTGGCACGTGGTAATTGATGGATGCTAACGATTGTTTTGAATATAATTATTATTTGATATTTTTTTAGCAAGGAAAACTTTTATTTAGAGAAACTTTGTATTGGCTGATTTTAAGAACTTGGGAGTGTTTTGTATTTGTGGAATGAAGTTGATTTCAGTTTAGTTAATTTTGAGTTTTTCTGGTTTAATTTCAAATATAGTATTTACTTCTGCAATAAAAGGGCAGAGTTTCTCAAATCAGTCATTTTGGCTTGTTAGTGTTCCTGATAATTTTTTTTAAAGAAAAGAGGCTTAAGTTATTTAAAACAGGTTTGAGGTTAGATGTGGGATTCTAATTTATTCAGATTTTTTGTCTTCCCTTAGCAAGAGCAGATTATCAGGACTCTTAAAGCATAATTTTTATTAATGTAAACAATCATTAATAAATGAAAACCTCCAAATTATAGTGCCAGCTACAGGTGTGTTTCATTATACAGCACTGTATAAAATGATACATCATTTTTAAATATGTTAAGTAATCTTATTTAAATGAATGCTTTAAGAATGATTTAGATTTGGACTTTTTGTAAGCTCATGTTTTATGTGTATTTTTTAAAGTAGATAAAATCTGTTTTAACTTGTTGGGTTTATACAGTAGCACTTGGGACTAATTGCAAATATTGAGTCCACGCCTGATTTTGCTGACTGAGTGTGTACCTTGATTTTTCAGTCTTGTTACCATCTGTCCTGTATCGCAGAGATACTGTATGATACTCTCTCTGAAAATAAGTTAATGTAACGAGTTAATTGTCTTATGAAACTGAAGCCAGAATTTTAGTCTTATGGCTAGACGTTTTAAAGTAACTAAGCGATCTTAAAATTAGGGTAAGTGTATCAGTCAAACATTCACCAACAATCACATACTTCTCTCCACCCAATTAAAAAAACAAAACTATAAGATTGGATAGTAATGGAAACTAAGTTTCTCTCTACTGGTTTCATTATCATTTTTGTCATTTTCCATAAATTTTGGCTTAGCAAATTGTATTTCTGTGTTTATTCCACAAACTTGGGCATGTTCTTTTCTGAGTTGCCTTTTATTTTGATGGGAATGTCTTCACTTTTTTTACAGTATATAGAGGCAGTATAGAGGAATGTTTGAGTACACATGCTGTGAAATTTGGCTGCCTGGGTTTGAATCACCACTCCACCACTTACTAGTTGTGACATTGGTAAATTTTCTTGTCTGTAAAATGGGGATGATAATAGTACCTGTCTTAATGTTACTGTGAGGATTAAATATGCTAATTAATAACATTTAGAGTAGTATCTGGCATGTAGCATCTAAAATCTACTGAGTGCTTATCCTTAACATCTAAGGGTTCCTTGTCTTCATGTCCAATTCCTCTGTGAAGTCTTCCATTTCTCTTCTAGTCTTAATACTCGCCTTCCAGCATTAGTCTGTACCTTGATATTTAGTAATTAGTTAATGTAGTCTGGTATCATTTATTATTTTCTGCCTGAAGAGGGCTCAACAAAACCCTTAAACAAATTGAGGGTAGAATATGTTATGTGTTCTGTTTCCCCAGAGTTAGTTGCCCAGTGATGATGTAGGAAAAGTAGTTTGTTTAAAAAGTAGGCAGTCTTCAAATTAATATGTAAGATCAGCTTTAACCTATATTTGTCTATTGAAACTGCTAGAATTGTATACAAGCCTTAGAGTTGAGCACTTAATGTATTATGGGGGCTAGAGTTGGCAAGAGATGCTGGTGTGGTTAAACTCGGTTTGTAAGGATAGATAGGAAAGGAAGGTTCCCTGGCAATAGTAAATTAACCATCTGTCTGCAGTTGGTTGAACAGGTCAGTGCCTGTTTAGTCATGCACTGGGACTTGGATTTGTAGAGTGGTTTAAGGTTTTCATAGCACATTTGCATGTTTTATACCTTTTGTTTCTTGCAGTAGTAGAGTTAAGCATGCCTTATCTTTGGCGAGTTGAGATTTATTTGCCAAAGATCACCTAGGTAATAAGCATTAGAGCCTTACCTTTCTTTTTTTTTTTTAAAGATTTATTTATTTATTTTCGCCCCAAAGCCCCAGTAGATAGTTGTATGTCATAGTTGCACAGCTTTCTAGTTGCCGTATGTGGGACGCGACCTCAGCGTGGCCGGAGAAGCGGTGCGTCGGTGTGCGCCCGGGATCCGAAACCGGGCCGCCAGCATCAGAGAGCACGCACTTAACCGCTAAGCCACAGGGCCGGCCCAAGCCTTACCTTTCTTACGGATGCCCCATGGTCATTCTCCATGTCATTGGTAGTTTTTAGTGACTAGTGAAACTTACTTCTGTAGGTATTTAGGGTAGCACAGCTCCTTAGCTGAGGAGTTGTTGAACTGTTTCAATATCTCGTGCTTATATGGCACGTTATAAATCAGCCACTGTTAAAAAATTCTTTACGTGCATTAACTCACTTAATCCTCCTAACAACTCTGAGGCAGGTACTTTTCTTAGACCAATTTTGCATAGAGAGAAAGTGAGGCACAGATTATTGTAACTTGCCCAAGGTCACACTGCTAGTAAGTGGGAGAGCTGGCATCTAAACAAAGCCCAGGCCTCCTTTGTGCCAGCACCCTTTCATGTGGATTGTACAATTAAATAACAATTTAAAATGCTGTGAGTGTCCTAGTATTGGTTTGGTGTTAAGGGTTAACTAATTGATGACTGAGATTTTAAACAACATCCCTTACTCCTGAGATTTGTGGTATTGCTATTTCATATCAAAAACAAGACAAGTTTTTTCCTTAACTGGTCAGCAGTAGTTGACAAGAATTTAGCAGTGCACCCCACTTCCCCCCCACTTTTTGCCAAATGCATAAATACTATATTTACTTTTTTCCCGCCATTTAAGAATGCCAGATAGTTTCCAACATTCAGTAAAGATAGAAGCTGTTACATTTCGGTAATAAAACTCCCTAACAGCAGTGGCTTAATGCTTGCTGTTTCATGTCCTGTGTAGGTTGGGGGCGGGGGCTTGCTCTGCGTATGGTAATTACTCAAGAGACCCAGCCATTGGAACTGTCTCCATCTTGTAAATTGCTGATCCTGGCACTCCAGAGGGAAGGAAAAAGCTCCTGCTCAGAAATGTCACATTGCCCATAGCTCATTGACCAGAACTATCCCCATGACCCTGACAGAGCACAAGGAGACCAGAGAAGAAGAGAGCCTGAGTCAGGAATGTTTTGTAAATAGAATGAATGATTGCTACAGCAGTTAGACTTCTTTTGATTCCGATTTTAAGAATGATAAAGTGAAGGTACTCCATTTCTTGCAGGAAGAAAGAAACAAAAGCTTGCCAAGGAGAGAGCTGGACTTTCTAAGGTAATACTCAATCTATTTTTTTGTTTAGATTGTATTATATACTTTATAGAAATAATTTTTTTAAAATCTACTTCAAGTATGTATTTGGAGAAAGCTAGTTGATATTAGAGATTGACTTTTTATTTTAAAATATAATTTGTTGTTTTTAGGAATAGTTAACTCAGTTCAGCTGCCGATTATCTGGTCCTTCATTGTTCCCCCTTTGTTAGCCATGACAGCAGACAGCGTAGTGTATGAGCAATATTTAAGGAATAAATTATAGTCTCCAGAAGACATTTACACCAAAAGGTTGAAACTTCCTCTCACTCAGCTGCTTCAAAATGATAAAATAAAACATTTATTAGTTTAATTTTCCTTCCTCCAACTTCCTTTAAAAGAACCACATCTGTTTGTTTCAAAAGTTACATAAGTTATTCACACTCACTGATCCGGAATCCCACCACCTGACAAATTTTTACCTTGTTGTAATATGTAAATGTAGATATAAATCTTTTTATTCATTTTTTTCTTTTCTTAGATCCTGTGTTCATGATTATTTTTAATGACTACATAGGTTTATCTGCTTGGTAAAAAATGTTCTGTGGCATGTGTAAGTAAATTAAGTAAGTAAATGTAATCGTTGTGCGTATGGCTTTTCTTTTTTATTGAGATTAGTTTCATTATCTAGGTTTCCAGGACTTGGACTACTGGATCAGTAGTGGTTCTTTTTAAAGCAAGTCGAAACAAGGAAAACTTAAATCAACAAATGTTACATTTGTTATTTTGAAACAGTGGAATAATCAACACAGCTAACTGACTGGGCACCATAATAATGAAGTGAAACTGGGAAGCAGCCACTTTGTTCTATTATGTCCACCTACCTTTCTGACATATACAATATGTTCATTATGCTTTTAGTAGCCTTTTCTTTGTAAGGATATAGGAAAATAGACATAGATTTCTGCATCGATGTGTATCAGTTATGATTGAATTCTTGCCCTGTGCTGAAATAGTCAATGAAAGATGCCTCCACTTTCAGAAATTTAAATTTTTTCACCTATGTTGGTAATAAGAGCATATATAATATAATTCAAGAACCAAAAACGTCCATTAATAGAAGTCTAGGTTTTTAAATAAAAGCAGACTTTTTAATACCGAAGTACAATAAAATGAGGTATGCCTGTAGTAGGTTTACGTTTTTTAAAAAGATAGGCCATATAGCTGGTGGTATTATATATTACCATAATCGTTCAATCTGGTAATACGTAACAAACTACAAAGCAAAAACACAGAAATGCAAGCTTATTTCAATAAAGCTGCTTGTAATTGTTTATAATAGCAAAAAAATTAGAAGTAGCTCAAGTGTCCAACAAATAGATCATGATTATGCAATCATATATTCCTCAATGGTGTATTCTATTGCCATTTAAAAATAACTAATCTTTTAGATGCATGTAAAATCTGTAATGTTGAATCAGAACAGATTGATTACAGTTATGTAAAAATTTATAACGGTGATCAGAAAATAGTGTAAATAGTAAAGTGCATGTTTTATGGTAGAGATGTTTGTACTTTTGGTTTTTTACTTTAGGTTTGATTTATGGCTTTCTAAGAACTGTTCAAATACCAGTTTGATCAATAAGTATTTTTTTCTTGCATTTATTTGAATGTAGATACTAAACTCTAATACTTGAGATTGTTATTGAAGAGTAAATTTCTTTTTATTGTTTTTTAGAATGAGCTATTCAATTTTTTGTTGTTTTATTTTTAGTGGCATGATTTTCTGTGTTGGTTATAGCCCCTGGCATAATTTTGGTATCAATTACTAAATATTCTATTTCAAACAGTTACCTGACCTTAAAGATGCTGAAGCTGTTCAGAAATTCTTCCTCGAAGAAATACAGCTTGGTGAAGAGTTACTAGCCCAAGGTAATAATTATTAAAAGACTAGGAAACTAGATAGAATTCTTCACACTAATATAAATTTATGGTGATAAGGGGCTTTTTTTGTGTAGTGTGGCTGTTTTTTTAAAAAGGTAGTCTAAATATTTCAAGAGGAGTTTTTAGGCATTTAATAATGTGAGGATGGAATATTTTATTTAAGACTGGCTCTAGAAATAAATATTTCTTGTGGGTTATCATTGTCCATAATACATTTTGAGTGAGTTTTAGATTTACTTGATGTATGATATAGAGAAGAAAATAAGTAATCTTTACAAATGAGGTTACTTTTAAGTAGTTTAGAGAATATCGTCATAGTGCAATATGTAAATAGTAACTGAAGGAATATGATCTAGGAATATGTTCCCTCAACTCGTTCATCTAATCTTCAAGTCTTTAGTCTAGTACTTATAGGAAGGATTGGCTAATACAAGTCTCAGAGAAGGTTAATTTACTTGAGTGGGGTCACACAGTGAGTTCTTGGTCGTCTGATTTCAGAAGCAATCAGTGGTCTGAATCTGACCCGGAGTTGAGGCTTTGTGCTTTATGTATCCCATCAATAGGAGTCAGAGGTTTTTTCAAAAAAAAAATACTACTATGAAATTAAAATGATCAGATTTCCAAATTTGAAAGCTATAATTCATTTAGTAATTTAGTGTCTTATAAGTCTGTTTAGTGTCAAAGTAGCTTGTATCTCAAAAGTGGCTTTGAAGTAGTTGCTTTCATGAGTAAAAATGGTATCAGTTGTCAAGTTTTTCTTATTCTCATTGCTGTATCATAATAGATTTACAGAGTTTTGAACTACATGATGCAGGTCATTTATGATTTTTTATTTGTTTATTTTATGGGAAGAGATTAAAGGCTTAAGATGGTGGTGACCATTGTTACTTTTCATCCTGTATCGTTTTTCCCAAGAAATAATTTCTTTTTTTTTTTTTTTGAGGAAGTAATTTATCTTCTATTTGGATGGTATAGTAGACTGATAAATATTTAATAAAAATGGAAATGCCTTACTAGAAAATAATTGTGACTTTTTCCCCCGATATAATAAGAAAAATGTGAAGTTTAATCATAGGGCAATAGTAAAGCACTTAAATCCTCATAAAGATCATTTTAGATAATATAATTGTATTACTTTAATATTTGAAAAGAAAAATCTGTGTATAGTGATATCTGTGTTTCTAAGGATATAGATTGTAATATTTCAATTAATGTAAACAAATTCTCAAATAAAATTTCTTTTTTCTGCTCATAAATAAAGATGTTTATTTGATACTATCAAAATTTTCTTCTAGCCTCCAAAATATAAACAGTATTTTAAATTGTTTAACTTATAATCTAAGATATTATAGGGCCGGCCCTGTGGCTTAGCGGTTAAGTGTGCACGCTCTGCTGCTGGCGGCCCAGGTTCGGATCCCGGGCGTGCACCGATGCACCGCTTCTCCAGCCATGCTGAGGCCACGTCCCACATACAGCAACTAGAAGGATGTGCAGCTATGATATACAACTATCTACTGGGGCTTTGGGGGGAAAAATAAAATCTTTAAAAAAAAATCTAAGCTATTATAATACACTCCGTATTACTTATATTTGGATTATCTTGGAGATCCATGCACTGTGGCCATCAGTCTATCTGACTTGAGCTATTAGATCCAGATTGAGGACAGTTACTCAGGGTGGTTGGGGGAGGGGAGTTCAAGGAGGGATAGGAAAGAGTTGTATTTTTTCCCCAAGCTCATGTTCCTCACTTCAACCCCAAATACCCAGTGAATTACTTAACAACTTAGCTGCCAAGCTGTCTTTCTTTTGGTGGAAACTGCCAACCTGCCTTGAGGTAGAAGACTTAGATGGTTAAAATTAGGAAAAAGTCAACATCAAAGTAAGCCGGGTGAAAGCATAAACATTTGGGGCAGTGAGCATCATTGCTTGATGAGGTCTCCTTCATCCAGGGATCTTCCATAAGCATATTCCCTTAAATGAGCAAGATCTTATCTCAGGAGACGTGAACGGGATCAAGTCTACAAGTGCAACGAGGAAATGGTTTCACCTGCACTGAGTTGCTGTGGTTCATTAATTGTTTTCAGTGTATTTAGAAGTATTTGGAGGTGTCTCAGAGGATCCCTTGTGTTCTACACATACCACTCCAGTAGCAGCTCTATTTCCATTTAATAATCAGAATTAATATCCCCAGGCAACAATGTAATCCCCTCTATTGCCTGTAAATTCAGTGTGGGAAAATTTCGTGGCCAAGTGGCTTCTTAATTTCTGAGTCAGTGGAGCCATTGTGTCCCCGATGGAAGTCCAAGCGCATGCAGGAGACCTAAGTCTTTTATTTTATATTTTCCACTTTTAATACTTCTTTGTAGAGTTCTGCTTTCTTCGGTTTGAATACCTCAATCTTCAGATTTTCTCAAGTGAAAAAGTTACAGCAGGCAATTCCTCTTCATATACCAGTCTTCAGTCCCTTGCTTGGTCACATTCTTATTCAGTGGTTGGAAAACTTTGGGTTTACTGATTTGTTATAAAGGATACAACTCAGGAGCAGCCCAATGGGAGAGATGCATAGGGCAAGGTATGGAGGGTGGGAGGGGGTCAGGAGCTTCCATGCCTTCTCTGCGTGCACCACCCTCCTAGCACCAAGATGTGTTCACCAACCAAGAAGCTCAAGAAGTAACTTCTTGACATAGTTAGAATTTGCTCAGTTTCACCTAAAGAGTTAGAAATGGCCCAGTCCCTTCATTAAAGTTGCTAACTAAGAAAGATTAGAAATAAATAAGCAAGTGAACCAATCACAATGTCCGCAAGTGCAGAAGAACACAAGATAGATAGCGATCAGGGAAACATGCAGAAGAACACAAGATAGATAGCAATCAGGGAAACATTTCGCGTCTCCTTTAGACATGCACTTCAGCTCCTTGAAAGGGAAAGGGAGAGCGTTCTGCTCAACACTAAAGCAGTGCTTGATACCAGGTGGCGACTTTAGTCCTGTAACACTGGATTTGATCTTCTGTGCTGTGTAATAGATAGATAATATGATGCATTCGATGCTGTTGGTGTTAATAAAAGATACCACTTATGATCTGGCTGTCCAGTCAGCAAAAGTAGCAACATCTGCTTTTCACAGGAAGGGCGCTCAATATGACGAACTGACTGCAATTGAAGTTCTGTCAATGTATAAATGTATCCTGGATATATAGGATTGTTTAGCATTGTTGGATCCACAGAAAAGACAATTGCCAGTGCTGATTAGGTTTGGAAGAGATTTAAGGCCTTTGGGTGTCTATTCACAAGCAGGAACTGTCTGCAAGCCAGTCTCTTGATCAGCCATCGACTGGATCAGCGTACAACCCGATTGCGTTGTCCTGATGGGTGTCGTTATTACATAATTTCATTCCCTAGGAAAGGAGTTAGCCAAGCAGGTCAGGATGGTGGCTGCCCATATCCAGGTGACAATGGCTGACATGATCAGGAGGGTATCCGGGACCAATGTATGGATGGAATTGGCAATCCTCGAAGTGGTAGTGGAGATTCAGCTGTTCTTGACCTGAGGTCACAGAGGTTAAGAAAGCCCTTGGAAACCAATACCCATACGCAGGGGTCATCAGACACTTCACAGTATTCAGACTTACCCAAAAGGTTTCCTGACCTTCCCACAACAGCCGGTGGAACAGGAAACACACCATCATATGTTGGATTCAAGACCCTAGAAAGAACACCAAGAGTGACAGTCGCAATACCCATGCTTGTCATCAGCTGGCAAAGTCAAGCAAGTGAAGTCTGATGGTGGAGACATTCCCAAGACACACTTAGTGCCCCCAAGCTTGGGGTAGTGTAGGATATGACAACAGAACCAATCTTTAGGAAAATAAAGTAAATGCATGGGGATGGTCTGAAAATACTTTCTAAAGTCGTGAGTTGCTTTTGTAAAGCCTCTGACCAAATTTTTTGTAGTATTCTTGATTTACTTTATAGTGTGCCTTCCCATAAAGAAAAGTTGAATAGGGAGGAAGTTTAGTAATATAAGCAAGGGTTCTGAAGTTAAGGAGCCCTGGGCTTAATAACTTGAAGCAAATGTCTTAATTTCACTAAGCCTCCATTTCTTCAGATATAAAGTGAGGATACAGCTACTACCTAACTGAATATTGTGAAAATGATGTGAAACTGTTCATATAAGCCAGCAAGAACAGTGCCTCTGGCACCTGGTAAATGTTAGTAGTTACCTAATGTTACGGCAGTGAAAATACTCTGGATAATACTATAACGATGGATACATGTCATTGTGCATTTGTCCAAACACATAGAATGTATAGCAAAGAGTGAATCCTAATGCAAACCATGGACTTTGAATGATTATGGTGACTCAGTGTAGGTTCATCAGCTCTAGCAAAGGTATCACTCTGGTGGGGGTTGTTGATGCGGGAGGTTATGCCTGTGTGGAGGCAGGGGGCATGTGGGAAATCCTTGTGCTTTCCCCTCAGTTTTGTTGTGAACTTTAAACTGCTGAAAAAAAAATAATGTCTTAATAAAAGATTTTTCCAATAGAGTTGTTTTTCAGTAAGGTACATTAAAAGGATTTCTTGCATGGAAAACTCTTATACAGAAGAACACTTAATTTGAAACCATATTTAATAGCACAAAGTTCATTTGCTCAGAGAATTGGGGACAATTCTTTGGAGTTTGATTTAATATGAAGTTAACTGAGGACAAGGACCGCATGGCAGGCACTTATTCAATTAAGCGAACCTTCAAACACTAAACCTTATGTAATTTTTTTTTCTTTGGAAAGTAATGCATCTAGTGTAGGATAAATAAAAAAATGAATCCTACCACTCAGAGATAATCAGTTTTATCTGCTTCTTCGTGCCACTTCGTTATTATAATGACTGTTTTTCCTGCTAGCATCACTTTAAAAATATTTTTTTTTTGTACTTGCATGTGGTAACATTCAAATAGTATAAGGGCTTAGTTTACAGTGAAATTGGGCCCCCTTTCCACCTCAGTCCCCAATCTTCCAGTTCTCTTTATAGAAGAGGACTGTTCCGTTGTTAGTGACTTCTTATGTAATCTTTCAGAAATATCCCAAGTATATAAATAATAATGTACTTGGACATTTCTGCACCTTAATTTCCCCTTTTTTGTATGTGTATTGGAGACACTTCCATATCAGTACATATAATCTGATTTCATTTTTTAATGGCTTTATAATCCTCAGTTATATGAATGAACTGTAGATCATTTCTAAGTTTTTACTTGCATGATGTTTTTGGGCAGTATCACTTGGAGATATAGTGAAGACTTTAGAGTTGAATTTTGACGAAGGCAAATGCTTTTCAGGTTTCATGTTATTTTTATGTAAATCTTCCAGCTGAATATGAGAAGGGTGTAGATCATCTAACAAATGCCATCGCCGTGTGTGGGCAGCCCCAGCAGTTACTGCAGGTGTTACAGCAGACGCTCCCACCACCAGTGTTCCAGATGCTTCTGACTAAGCTTCCAACAATCAGTCAGGTAAGAAGTTGACATATTATGAAATAAAAGTGAGTAGAAACTGAGAATTAATTTAGCGACATTGGCATTTAGAAATGAGCCTAGTGAACATGATGAAGATAGTGCTGGAGAGATCAGTGCTTGAAATTTTCTTCCCTAATAGAAAAACATTCAAGTGAGTGGGCATAAGATCTAGTGATGGTGCTCTAGAAGTGGGTCATGAAGTGTGTCTCCTAGTGTTAAATCACAGGCCTTAGTATTCAAATCCCAGGATTCAGGCCACTGGAGCTGCTTTCTAAAACCAGCTTTCTGCCTACTTTTCTGTGAGACCATGCCATTCAGTCAAGTGGCCTGGCAGAGGACAGAGGAGCCAAGACAGCATAGCCTGCAACCTGGATCATAAAGGACTGTGGGTTCCCTCTGACCTCTCTTGTCTAAAGGCCCCAGTGCTTCTGCTGCTGCCAGGTGGGCTTTGAACTTGGAGCTATTTGATTACATCCTCAAATGCAAAATGCTATTTGTATAAAAGTGTATACATAACTTAAGAGTTTAGTAAAATGCATTCTGTTCATTTTTAATCCTTTCCAAGGAGCCCAGATTGAATCTACTTTTTGGAATAGCATGTGTATTACATGTGTTAATTTCCACAGTTGATGTGATTAGAAATTAGTAAAATGACTGACTGGTTAGTTCTTCAGACTGATCTTTACTCAACTAGATTGGAAAGGGACTGGAAAGAAAATTAAGGTCCCAAAGATTTAAGGGAAAGAGTTGAAAAACCAAGGACTTGGTCCTAATCTTCATGTTTAGACTAATGTGGTTCCCAGTCTGTCTAGATCAGAATCCTCTGTTTAATGTTATCCGATCTTTGAAAGGCAGCATAGCATAGTGTTTTTGCAAAATTGACCTGAGAGTGATGTCTTCTGAAATAGGGGTGAGTTAGGACGAAGCCTGGATTTCTATTAAAATTACCTCCTTTACTCAGTTAATTTGTCTCATGTTATCTGGAAATGTTTTCAAAATGCTAATTTTGAAATACTGTATTCCTTCTTTGTATAATGACTAAGCATTTCCAGGCCAAAAGGGGAAATGTTTGGAGCATAGAATGATCAGTAAAGCACTCATCAGTATTCTTAGTTAATGTGGGAGTGAGAAGGGATTTCAAGTTCTTTTTGGTTTCAGTTATGTAACTGACTAACATGTAGCACAATATAATGTTATACCTCCTTTGTTAACTTGAATTTTGAAATGGGACTGATCCTGTTCATACTGTGGGAGTATCCCACAGTATGATCATCATTTCCTTAGACGATAACAATGTATAAAGTGTTAAATGTTGAAATAAATCTCAGAATGGGTAAACTCGAACAAGATTTGATTCGTTGATTACAAAGAGCATTTTGTGTTGAACTTAGAATCCTGATTAAATGCTTATGATACTTTTGAAAATTAAATTTTTCTTTCTCTTTCAGAGAATTGTAAGTGCTCAGAGCTTGGCTGAAGATGATGTGGAATGAGAAACAAATGTCAACCTGATAATCCCAATTAAAGATATTTTTAAAATCTTAAGTCGGAAGATTTTAAGATTTAAAATCTTAAGCTCTGGGGGAATAAGGGCAAATATGCTTTTATGGACTGTCCTACACTGAAATCTACTGAAGTTAATTTTTACTTTGTGTAGATCCATTTGTCTATTTTATTTATTTTTCCCAGTGGAAAGTGTATTTTGATAGAGAGCTTTTCATTTTATGAATACACTATGAGTTACCGAAATATCATGGGTTTTGTTTATTCCTAAAATGTGCAATTAAAATGTACATGTAACATCACATTATTTACATTAACAATACCCAGTGCTCCGTTTTGAAAGATAGGGAAAAAAGTATAGGAGAAAACTGAAGAATGCACATTTTTTTAAGCTAGTACATTTTGCTGTAATCAGAAAATTGGATGAAAACTTGATCGTGTTTATCAAAACTGAGCATTAAAATCTTTGAGAGTCATTTCTTTCCATTTAATCTCTTAAAAATCTGAGATATGCTGCTGTGCTGTATTAACAACTTTACTCCCACCGTATGTATCAGTCTTGAAATGTTTTTTTAAATCAGTGGATTTAATGTGTTCTGGGTATTTATCTCCTTGTATTTTAGGTACATGTAGTTGCAAATAGCACCGGGAATTAGGTCTGTGTACACCGCTCATCCACCTCTGTGAGCTTCACCAGTTAATGTCTGCCCACTTGCCTCATTTACAAAATGAAGGAATTGGTCTGCTAACTCAGAGAAGTGTCCCTTTCAGCTTCTAGTTTGGTTCTGTTCAACATCTTCAAATCCACCATCCCCTGAGGGATATATTTGTTTGGGTAACCAGGCCTTGGATTTTTTTAATACTCCGAATTTTGCATGCTTGCCTGACTTAGTGTTTCTGAATTGAAAGGTGTAACTTGTGTTGATTTTCACTGAAATCATATGGTTCTGTCACTACTCTTGTAAATTAATTTGAAAGTTTAAGGTAACTGGGATGATATGCTTGTAAAAATGTTCTCCTTTGCTTTTATCTTATATGTACCTCTTTAATCTTCCTTCAATCTGATTCATTTATCTTGTTATAATGAGAATAAGATGTAACCTTGTGGCTGAAGACTTGCAAAGAGTGAAAGTAATGAGACCTCTTATTCTCAAATAGTGACATATTATCTGCAGTCACAGATTCAGTATCAGACTTGAGAATAAAGATTCTTGGTATTTAGTGTCATCTGTTGAACTGAGCAGCATTTCTCATTGTACAGGTTGCCGTTATTCTGTCTAGAAGTCTGTGGAGAGATCCCCAAGGCTTTTCCTGTGTACTAGGCTTTTTGTTTGTTTTACTTACAAACTTTTTTTAACCTTAACCTTGGGTTTTTGTGGTGGTTGTGATATAGTGGAAAGAGTTTGAAATATGTTTCTAAGTTATGCCTCTGGATAGCCGCACAGGCTTGGGCAAATCACGTTACATATCTGAACCGAACCTCCGGTATTCTCATCTATAAAATTAGAATATCAGACTAGGCGACTGACACATTCTAAGGACTCTTCCTCAGGTTACCCTCCAGGTTTGTGATCTTGAACCCTTAAACAGTGTGCTTTTTTTTTTTTTAACACTCAGCATACATTTTTTTTGAGGGGGTAGGGTGGGGAGGGTGACCTATACAACATGCTGGTTAGTCACTTTTACTAATAGAACTTCAAATCCAAAGCAGTGTAATGGTGATTGGTCAGTGATTGACCACACAGCTAGGAAACAAATCTTCTGTCCTGCACCCGCCCACACAGAGGGAGTTTTCAGACCAGGGCCTGTCAAAGGGAAGAGAAGAAGGAATATAGGTCAGAGTCAGAGGGAATATAGGTGGGGAAAAGAGCGAGGCGCAGACAGCTTGCAAGAGAGTAATGGGCCCAGAAAAACTAAGGACTGGTAGAGAAGTGAAGGGTCAACTCAGATTTTGGGAGGGTGTGAAGACTGCCCTTGACAACTGTGGTGCAGTCCAGGCTTGGTATCTGGCTTTCTGAAGAATAATGTTTTGATCTAACGTTTGTTGAAAAGGCAGTGATATCTTCACTTGAGAGCTGATTATGCCAAGGACATTGTCTATAAATGACAGCTTTGGAGCTTTAAAATTAGGTACCACTTTTGAAAGCTAGCTGTGTTGTGTAAAAAAAGAAAAACCTCAAACTAAAAAAAACAGCATTCCCCTCCCACCCTAGACACACAATTGCTGAACAAACACTGTTTCCTATCTGAAGTTTTACACAGTGATGAACAGTTGTGATGCTGGCCAAATGGTGCTCAGCCTAAGATTTAAGTGGAGTGATAACAGCACAAATGTTCCTATGTGCTAATGTTGCACACTTGTATAAAACATTTGGAAAAGGAAATATGTATTAGTGCATGTTGGCATGCTTTGTTGGACGAAGATCTATTGTTTGATTCCACAGTTTGTACTTAAAGCATTTAAAACACAGGCTTACCTGGCAGTATCAATGCTATTCTGTTAACAGATAACTAGAACTTATGTTCACTTTTAACTTATGTAAAGTGTGTAAAACCTAGTACAGTATGCATAGTACGCAGTCAGTAAATGTTTTGAGTTCTCTTACCCCTCAGTAAGTTTAATATTTTTACCATCTTCCTTCCTGCCTTTCTGACCTGAATCAACCTATGGACCAGTATGTTAATGAGTGTTACTGCAGAAGAGATTTTGAGAATATTGGTATATCATGCAGATATACAAAATTTTCTTTCTTGTAATATAAAAAATGCAGTTTTATTATTGCTTGTGCCTCAACTGTTTAAGTGAATATTAAAGGGCTTGGAGAAAAGTTGGGCTTGGTGTATATTTGGAGAAGTAAATTCTGCTGAATTTGATGACTCAAAGTAGTGGTACCTGACCGTTTCTAGGTTAACATCCCTTTGAGAATGTTGACAGCTTTGCAGTTTCTCTCCAGGAAAACACACATTTGCCTTTGACTTCAGGGGGTTCACAGATCCCAGGTTAAGAACCCCTGCTTTAATGTCCACAGGTGAGGATTCTGTGTAGTAGTGGTTTTCCAACTTTAGCAGGTATCACAATCACCTAGAAGGCTTGTTAAAGCAGATTGCTGGGCCCCACACTGCTAGGTAGCAGGTCTAGTCATGGAGCACGTAACAATCAGCATTTCTAAGGAGTTCCCGGGTTTTGATGCTGCTGCTGGTCTGACATCATGCTATGAATGTGACAGTGACAGTGATGATGTGGAAAACGTGAATAGGAAATCATCAGAGAATACCCGCTGTGTAAGGCCACAGATGATATACTTGAGCACCCTAAACATGAGGTGTGTGATTAAAAAGCCAGCTAACTGGCAGCAGAATGAGAACACTGAATACTTTATTGACAATGATCTGAAGCATAAAGACCATTAATCAGACTTTATATTCAAGATAGGTGACCACATTTAAATGTATTTTAGGAAATTTCCTCAGATATTAACCCATCAACTACACAGGTCAATTAAGCAGAAATTACATTCCCTAAGCATTTTAACTGTGAGGTTTTTGGTTTTTTTTGGTGAGGAAGATCAGCCCTGAGCTAACATCCATGCCAATCCTCTTTTTGCTGAGGAAGACTGGCCCTGGGCTAACATCTGTGCCTATCTTCCTCCACTTTATATGGGACACCGCCACAGCATGGCCTGACAAGCGGTGCATGGGTGCGCGCCCAGGATCCGAACCTGGGTCGCCAGCAGCGGAGCACGCACACTTAACCGCTACACCACGGGGCTGGCCCCTAATTGTGAGTTTTAAAATTGTTAGTCCACGTTTGTGTCTTTAAGTGAATCAAATGGATTTTTTTCTCCTTTTAGATAACAGGGTTTCTAGGACATACATAATTATATATATATAATTTTTCATTTTTTAAAGGCTATAAGTGTGTTCTGGAAACAGTCCAGGAGGCATGTGGAGGTACTAAATCCTTGTTTAATTTCCATTAACATTGGTAAAGGAGTCAAATACTTGTGACATATGCTGGCAAAGAAGCTAGGGGTTGGGGGTGGAGGGAGAAAAATGGGGACGAGAGGCTGTGGTTAAGCTGGAGCTTGATCTGAAAAAGGTGGTGGTACCTGGTGTGCAGCACCATGTCTGCATGTGTCATATGCCCGAATGTGATCTGCATTTTCAGGGAGAACAACTGGATCCCACTGGAACTTCATTAAGATCTCAAGTCCACGTAGCTCGGCCTTTGTTGCATAAGGAAATAGACTGAACTGAGCTGGCCTTTCAGGTTGTCCTTTGGTAGAGTGGGCATCTTTCGAATACCAGAACCCATCTCAGTTTACCCAGAGTAACACACAAAACTAGGCCCAGAGAGGTTGAACATGTTTATTCAGTGCTCTCTGCACCAAGTTCACAGCAGACATGCAATTTCTCACCCACCTCACCATTTGAAGAGGACAGCTTGGTGCTAAGTATAGGAGCAAGTATAGAAACGCAACTTGAATTAGCTTAAGAAATAGTTGCATTTGTTAGCTCCTCGGGAAAAATAGATCTAGCCTGTAAGATTAGGATGAAGATCTCCAAACCAGGACAGCTCCCTCCTCTGCTGCTCACTGTGCTTGTTTCATTTTCACAAACAGACCTAAGAAGCGCCTGGAACTCTGGGCACTGGCAGCTCCAAGCCCCCATTAATGGTGATGGTTAGTCGTCTTGAGCTCTATAATGTGTTAACTCATTGACCCCTTATAATCCCATAGGGTAATCGTTCCACTTTTACAGCTTAAGGAACCTGCCAATGTTGCATGGTAAATGGAAGATTAAGGATTTTTTTTCCAGCCTTATTGTATGATTTATAAATAAAAATCATATATATTTATAAGATGTACAATGTGAAGTTTGATGTAAGTATACATTGTGAAATGATTACCACAATCAAGCTAATTAACATCCATCACCTCACATAGTTACCTTCCTGTGTGTGCGTGGTGAGAATACTTTGAGATTTACTCTCTGCAGATTTTAAGTATACAATACATTATTATTAACTATAGTCCCATGCTGTACATCAGATCTCCAGAACTTATTCATCTTATAACTGAAAGTTTGTACCTTTTGACCAATGTTTCCCCAACCCCCCAGCCCCTGGTATCTGCCATTCTACTGTCTGTTTCTGAGTTCGATTTTTTTAGATTCCACTTATAATGGAGATCATGCACTATTTGTTTTTCTGTGTCTGACTCCTCTCACTTAGCATAATGTCCTCCAGTTTCATCCATGTTGTCAGAAATGGCAGAATTTCCTTTTTTAAGGCTGAATATTGCAATATACCACTTTTTATTTCTCCATTCATCCACTGACAGACACTT